CCTGTAGGCTGGGCTTGTCATTCGGAAAAGAAATGGACAATTGGTTGCTGGGCCCCCACGAAACCTTCCTCTTTAACTCATTTGGAACCTGTGGCTCGTAACGCGACGACATCTCAATATCCATGGGCTTAGCACGCCCAGAACTCGAATTAGGCCCAGAATTCAAATTAGGCCCATCAGAATCCAATACATGAGGGGCGCCTGTAAAGCCACGTGCCCGTCCACGTGGATGGTCTCCATCAATGCGATCATATTGAGGATAGCTTGATAAGGAATGGATAGGGGCGTTACGCGTACGACTCGTGGATCTCCTTCCCCCACGCGCGTACAGCGTGTGGGTGTACATGCGTCGCTGTCCTTTAGGACCGAGATGAATCTACAACTGCTGGCGGCCTCTTCCGGTGTTCGTTTCTTCGAACATGAGGGGATCCATCAATTGTGCCATAAGAGGACTTCGAAAGGATGAAAGGTGAAGATTCCTCCGTCAAGGCGACCTTAAAGGCCACTCTATGGCCTTCAACGAAGACGAACTCCGGTAGAAACGTATAGAAGGACTCTCTCACCTCCCGCCATATCGTCCGCCTACCCACCTCTAAAACCACCGCATAAGTCTCCTGTGGCTTCGAATAACTTCTTGCACCAAAGATGGAGGGGCAAACCATACATCACCACCCTTCTTATCCTGTCTTGGGCTCTCACCGCTGAACATCCCACTGCAAAATACCAAACATCAATGGATAGGTTAGCGTCTCCCCATTTCTTCTTTCCTGAATCCAAAACCCTTTGTGCCTCATCCTCCGATGGTAGCCTGAACAGAAAAAGGCCATCAGGTAAGGATGAGACCACCACACCACACGATACTTTCCAAGACTTCGTCACCCACGCCTCGATCCCCTCAATACATCCCACATCTCTATCAAAACGTCTGACTAGGCAAGATTTCAGGGCAAATTCTCGGATCGTCGTGCTTTGATGATCAACCCTGAACACCATATCTTTGCCAATTGAAACCCTTTTGATCTCTCCATTGAGGTTGAGGCGTGGAAGTGTCGCCACATCGAGATACGACTGTAGCATATCACAAATCCCTGCCAGTGAAAACAGAAAACCACCCTTGTTAACTTTGGTCTTCCTCTTACCCTAGTATTACATTCAATGTGACAATTAGGTTGCAAAAAATTTCTCATTTCTAAAGGAGATAAACTATTTTGATATTGTAATATGGACTTTTGTTTGTGAGTTTGGTGGCATGACATCTAATGATAAAAGCTCAATGATCAAGGTAATTTGCTGTGATAATTCACTGATTCGCAAGATCTTTACCTCGATTGAGGAGGTTCATACTTCTGTAACTGACATTTGGGAGAGTTATTTAAGATTTTCTTGGTACTACCTCACATGCATGGCAGCTGCTTCTTTCACAGACAATGGAGAATGCTAGACAGATTATTCTTGCGGGCCACTTGACAAATATAGGTTGGCATGTCAGCATACGTACTGAATCGAACATGCAAAGATTGCTGATTAGTAAACTATTTCTGGTATTTGATGTTTGTTATAGAATGTTCATTCATTTAGCTTTTTCATCTTATGGATTCTTGGATGATATCATCTTATATATATATATATATATATATAGTACTAATCTCTTGCTCCCCATGGAGCAAGAAAATTCTTCCGCACTTTTTATAGTGACCATTAGATTAAATCTAATGGTCACATTCTAAACCCACCTATAGCTTTCCTTTTAATACAAAACCACTATCACTATTTCTAGTTTCCAAATTTAATATTTACCAATACAATTAATTATAACAATAAAAGGTAAGTACTAAAAAACATAAAAATAGAAATCTCTTCACCTCTTGAAATCACATCTCACCATTAATTGAAATTTTTTTTTTCTATAAAAAAAATTTGTAAGTGTTAGAAAATTGTATCCATGACTTGATACTAAAGTTGACATTATCTGTTTGAGTGTAAAAAAGAAATTAAAAATTACACTATTGACATACAAAACAATGAAACATCGACTAAAAAATAATAATGAATTAAAAATAAAATCTACTTGATCAACTTAATGTAATCTGTGATTTGCACTACACTTCACTCATAAAAAAATTAATAGATTACAATTTAAATTATTGTATACCTCCCTAAATGCATGCTATTTAAATATTAGAAATTTAATCTATTTTTCTCTAACTCTTTGTCACAAATTCTAACTAGATGTAAACACATTCCAATTACTCATCTGTCATAATAAATCGCACAATATATTTTTTATAGTTTTACTATAATAACAAAAATTTATTGACGTAATGAGGAGATTTACAACAAAACATGCTAGTATTCTATGAAATTTCAGATTTCCTTTGTAAATTAGTTGTTTTCTTAATATTTTCTCTAATACTGCTATTATTATACTATCATTATTTTTATTTTTTTAGTCCTTACCTTTTATTGTTATAATTAATTGTATTGGCAAATATTAAATTTGGAAACTAGAAATAATGATAGTGGTTTTGTATTAAAAGGAAAGCATATAGGTGGGTTTGGAATATGACCATTAGATTTAATCTAATGGTCACTATAGAAAGTGCGGAAGAATTTTCTTGCTCCATAGGTAGCAAGAGATCACTACTCTCTATATATATAGTTTAATGGCGGGTGACTATTTGTGGAAAGAATGCAGTAACAAGTGCTTGAGGTTACAAAAAACAAAAATAGCCTAAATCTTGTGTTAGGTCACAGTGATATGGGAGCATCCATCTTGTGGCGGATCGAGCCTAATTTTGTTGGGGGATGCTTATCTAATCTCTTATATGGACTTTGTGCTTTAAAACGCATGCCTACTAAGTTTTACTAGGGTTCTTAATGATTTCCTTTAGGCACTTTCGGCTTTACGAGTGGTATTGAAGACAAAACTGCTTGCTATTCTCCGTCGGTAGATAATTGTGAGGATGTTCTTGACATAAATTAATTTTAGACAAAAAGCCTCACAATGTCTCTTGGCACTTGGCAAGCTCGAGTTTCCTGGATATATTGAGGGTATTCTTTTCCTTCTTTTTTTTGTTTTTGTTTTTGTTTTTGTTCTGGATCAGGTAAGAACTCACACACACTTTGCCCCCACGCTGGGGCTCAAACCCCTCCCTCCTCTTTGAGGATGGGGGTTGTACCATTGGGCTAGAAGCCCTTTGGTGAATTTGAGGGTATTTCTGGTTTAAAATTTCAAGTTGTTTCACTCTTACTACTTTCTTGTAAGGCTCTTCCTAGTTACAATGATGTTGATACTTGGTTCAATCTGTCTAGCAGAACACAAAGGGATGCATGTACGATTAGCGAAGGGGTTCAATTCAGTCATGTTAAAATTTGGATGCGGAAATAAGAAATGCAAATAAGAAAAAGGAAGAGAGAGAGATGGAGAACACAGACATATACATGGTTTGGCACTAAGGCCTACATCCATGGACAAAGAACCACTAAGGGCTATAGTTCTATTATTCAGATATATTTTGCTTGAGTACAAAAAGCCTATATATAGGCACGATAAAGATAAGAAAATATGGAAGGTGTACAATAGTCAAAGGAGACACTATGATTGGTGAAGGATTTTGCTTCACCGTTATATAGAAATATTTATAATTGGAAGGAAATTGGCCGGATCACTATGATTAGTGGAGGATTTTGCTCCACAATTGTATAGAAATATTTATATATTTCAACACTCCCCCTCAAGTTGGAGCATGAATATCATGAATGCCCAACGTGCTAAAGAAACGCCTTGAAAGATGATGAGAAGGTGTCCGGACCAAAGCCAGGACATTGACCAGATCTTGTTGGGGAAAATGATTAGATCTTGCCGGGGAAAACAAACTGGAACTCGCTTGGGAAAATGGCTAGAACTAAGCCGGGAAAAGGCCGGAACATTGCCGAGAAATGGGCCGGAACATCGCCGAGAAATGGGCCGGAACAACATCGGGGAATGCCGAGGTGCTGAACCATCCGAAAAACGGACTGGAAGGGAAAGGAATGTGAAGACATGGAGAATATGCTCTATGATAATAATACCAATACTCCCTCTCAAATTCTAGATGAGATTACAAGAACATCTAGGCTCTGATATCATGTTAAATTTTGGATGCGGAAATAAGAAATGCAAATAAGAAAAAGGAAGAGAGAGAGATGGAGAACACATGCATAGACATGGTTTGGCACTAAGGCTTATATCCATGGACAAAGAAAAAAAAAAGAGCCACTAAGGGCTACATTTTTACTATTCAGATATATTTTGCTTGAATACAAAGAGCCTATATATAGGCACGTACAAAATAAGAAAATATGGAAGGTGTACAATAGTCAAAGGAGGCACCATGATTGGTGGAGGATTTTGCTCCACCGTTATATAGAAATATTTATAATTGGAAGGAAATTGGCCGGATCACCATGATTGGTGGAGGATTTTGCTCCACAATTATATAGAAATATTCATATATGTCAACAAGTCAAATAAAGTCTAATATATTAGTATTGGTCATGTTGGCTACCTGAATCCTTTTTGACATTTATCAATTTCTAACTGAAAATTGATATCCTTCCAGAGTTGTGACCAACAAATATTTCTAATTATAACCTCTGATATTTATGGAAAGAGGAATAAAAACTTCCATTTGGTGAATAATTCTCACACCAGCTTCATTCTGCACTGAGGTAATACTATATTATTATTTCTATTGGCTAGGTGGTTTGCGAGTGTATAGGCTGAACTTGCTTTTTTTCCTTGACCTGAGATAGAACTATTATTGTTTCTTTTGTCAAAAAGAGTTGAATTTGCATTTCTCTTCATGATTTGGCTTTCAAATATATTGAAAATGCTCTCATTCTTCTTGTGTTTTTCAATATTAAATATATGTTATATATTAAATGACCCATCTGCACATTAGAAAGGTGATATTCCCTTTCCAGTTTTATAACTTAAAACCATTTCTTTTTTCTATCAGCTCGCATTTGCTTCGACGCCTCTATTTGAGCCATTTGCTATTCCGTTGCTTCTCGAGAAACTTTCTTCTTCTTTGCCATCTGCAAAGGTAGGTGAAAATGGAATTCAGTTTTACTTTGGGGCTTGCATTAAGTGAAGCAATTTTTGTACTTTTGTGCTATACCAAAGTGCCTTATATCCAATCCTTCCATTGACGACTTTCTTTGCCTGCAGGTTGACTCCTTGAAGTATCTTAGCTATTGCATTGTAAAGTATGAAGCAGACAGAATGGCAAAACATGCTGAAGTCCTTTGGGCTTCATTAAAAAATGCAATTTTTACTTCAATAATGCCTGTTTTGTCCTTGGAGTCGGAACCGGTTGATGGTATGGGCTTTCAGGAGAATGAAATTGCAACAGAAGCTCTCATACTTCTGCAAAAAGTTATTCTGCAAAACGATGCCCTGTTCTTAAGTTTGATTTCTGGTGATGAAGACATAAACACAACCATCAACTCCAGTGCTAAATTTAATAGGTATGATGATATACCTACACAAAACAAGCAGAAACTACTAGCAGTTGGTCAAATTCTTTCTGTTTCTGCCAAAGCTTCCATTTCTTCCTGCAATAGAGTGTTTGAGAATTTCTTCATCCGCCTGATGGAGACTTTGGGGCTTTCAGTTCAAAATTTATCCGGGGTTTGCAATCCAGATGAAGATCATGTAATTTCTGAAAGAATTGATTTTGGAGCCCTTTATCTGTGTGTTGAAGTCCTTGCTGCATGCAGATTAGCTGTTGTGGGCACTGAAAAACTTGCCATGACTACTGTTTCTGTGTGTGATACGTGGTGCTGCATGCTGCAGAATTTTTGCAGTTCATTAACTAAGGCCTTCAGTTCTACCTTGGTAACAAATATAGATGAATGCACTGACAAAGCTTATATTCACGTTGGAGGTAAATATTCTTGTTTGTCAACAAGTGTATACTTTTATCTCTATTTAGTTATTATCTGATTGGCTTCAAGTAATCATTTATATTATCTTCTCTCTCTCTTGCTTAGCTTGTGCAGAAAGTTTCATTTCAGCTTTTGAGTGAACATCAGTCATATAACACAACTTAACTAAGCCTTTTCCCAACTACTTCTTGTTACTTCTGTGTTTGAATTAATTTTTTGAGAAGTAAATATAAATCTAGTTTACCTACACTGATTCTTTCATTTTATCCTGTAATCAAATTGCAGTGAAGGGTTTGCAGATTTTGGCAACATTTCCCGGAAGCTTCTTTCCAATACCAAAATCCATATTTGAGAATATTTTGATGAAGTTTATGTCGTTCATCACTTTGGATATTAACAAGACATTATTATGGAAATTGTCATTGAAGGCACTGGTCGAAATTGGTTCATTTATCGATAAATTTCAGGAGTCTGAGAAGGCTTCAAGCTTTAAGAGTATTGTTGTCGAAAAGATCGTTTCATTGATGTCTTCCGATGATTTTACTATGCCTTTATCACTCAAACTGGAAGTGGTTTCTGACATTAGTATGACTGGGTTGGATTCCATGCTGAGAATTGTCGAAGGGCTGGAAAAAGCTATATTTGTCCATTTATCCGAGGTTTATGTAAGTCTAGTATATGAGTTCCCTATTATTTGATTAGTATTTCTTTTATTAAGATGCTATGTAATTTCCTCAAGTAAGGGACACTCTCATTTTTGTGCCTTTTCCTTTGGTATTGCTAACTTATTTGAAGGTGTGTGTGTCCCTATACTTTTGGGATATATACTTTGAACTCAATGATCAAAATTAGTACCCTGTCAAAGTAAAGATACCCCAGGCTTTAGCAATGAGTGCGATGAATGGATTCTTAGTATGCGCTGGTTTTGCATCCATAATTTGTTTCTTCCTCTCTCCAATTTATAAATGAAACTGCCATTTCTCGACTTTCTTTTGGTAAATATCTTCTCAATTTTAATATAACTTCAATGTTGCATTTTGTTTGTGTAGGTTAATGGGAATTTGAAGTCAGCTGAACTGACAGTTCAGCTTTTGGAATGTTACTCTAATAAGGTGCTTCCATGGTATGCGATTGTCCCTGAAATTTTCTGCCCCCCTTTTCAGCTCATTATGACTATTTTAATTATTGAAATTCTGCCATGGTTCCCCCTCCCCCCGCCGCGCCCCCCCAGCCCCCCCGCCAAAAAAAAAAAAAAAAAACAACAGGGGAAAGGTAAAAACGTTCCCTCTCCTGTTTGAGGTCCTTTTCCAACCCTACATGCTATCCTAGACCTCATTTTATTTTAGTTTTATTTCAAACTCGTATATAGTTGATGGATTTAATGATCTAGATCTCTGAGGCTTTGGATGAGAATATCCTTAGGGTGCCTGAATTCTTGTTAGAAGTGTACATTATCTACAGATACAGGGAAGAAGTGCAAGTCAAGTCTTTTTCCACACTGTGTTTACTTCAAATATGCTACTGTTTTGGCTAGTTACTGATGCTACTTTGTGTCTTTGCCTAATTGCCCACTTGTTATCTGAAACGCTTTTGGGATGGACCCAGGTGTCAAAAAATTGAAGGTCTCGAGGAAGTCCCGTTCAACTTTGCAGTTAATATTTGGGATCAAATTGAAAATAGCATGGCTTACAGCTTTTGGTTGCAGGAGAAAGTTAGTGCAGCTTCCATATTCATGTGTTGAATTTTATTATTAGTTTGTGGTATTTAAGATGTTTGGCGATCTCTTGTAAAATCTTCAAGTTTATTTGCATCCAATTTGACTGGCTTCAGTGGTTAGCAATCTTGGAATTAATGAAAAACTATCCAGTTGTGATAATTTATATTTATATTTTCAGGAACTTCTTTATGCAACAACGTCAGCAATGAAGCTTGCAGTTGGGAGTTGTTCGGAAGGAAGACAGAGCATAATTATCCAAAAAGCTTTTAGTGTACTCTCATCAAGTACTTCTTTCCAGTTGAAGGATTCCACATCTGGCACCACAAGAATTGAGCAACTTGACTGCAGTGTAGACAGTTTTTCATATAGAGATGAATGGATAACTTCTTTATTTGCTTCAGTGGTTATAGCTCTTCATCCTCAAACCCACTTCCCAAATGTTAAAGTAGTATTGCATGTATTCATGACAGCCCTTGTCAATGGTCATGTTCTAGCAGCTCAGGCATTGGGTTCTATGGTTAACAAGCTGCCTCTAAAAACCAATGTGATGGATATTTCAAGTGATTGCAGTTTGGAAGAAGCGATTGATATAGTCTTTAATGGTAATATATGGAGCTCCTTTGACAATGGTTCTTTAAGAAGATGCGGCGGGATGGGTGACGGCAGTGAGATAGGTCTTTGTAGTTTAGGACCGAGTAACGGAAAGAGTAGGTTGCTTCAAATCCATGCCATTGTTGGACTAGCATGGATGGGAAAAGGTTTGCTTATGCGGGGTCATGAAAAAATAAAAGATATAACTGTAACATTTTTGACTTGCTTATTGTCAAACGACAATGCTGGCACCAACCAGGGTCAACTTAAAGACAGTAATGAGCAGGATATGCTTTCTTTGATGAAATCTGCAGCAGATGCTTTTCATATTCTTATGAGCGACTCTGAAGCTTGTTTGAACAGAAGTTTTCATGCAATCATCCGACCGCTCTACAAGCAACGATATTTCTCTACCTTGATGCCGATTCTGCTATCTTCAATAGTCAAATCTGATTCGTCAATCAAAAGGTACTTATGGGCGTAGCATTGCAATATTCTTGTGCTTCACAGATTGAGATTTCTTCATTCTTCTCATTACAACTTTACGTAACTTGCATTAAATTACACTTTGCATGAGATGCTGTGTATTAGCATACATGGCTGACTAATTTTTTTGTGTAAAAATGTAAATTGATTGGATAATTTCTACCTTGATTTTAAATCATAACTTATGTTGGTGATTATAGATTTATAGTTATTACTGATTCCTGAGTGGTTCATGACAGGTTATAATCACTGTTGTAGCATATATGGCTCACTTGTGATTTTTTACTTACCAGTACCACAATTGTAAAATTATATCATGTATTGACTGGCTACGATGCTGCTCATCTATATTATGTCATAGAACACTGGGTCATTTCCTTAATGGACATGATAAGTGGAACTTTTATTGTGTTTCTATATTGAACAACTTATTGTTTGATTTATGTAAGTTTTCCCTGTTGGATAATTGCTTCCAAGTCTTCCTTGTTGCTTAATGCCCACATCTAAATGTAAATCTTTAGTGCTTTATATATAAATCCTTTTCTTCATTGCATATTTTAACTACTAGTGTACACTAATAAAACAAAATAACTACTAGTGTACTACTGTTAGAAGTTTTTGTCCCTCATCGGATCCGGATGGAGAGGTTCTTTGGCTAATTAGGGTGGGTAGGCAGCTTCACCAAAGAACTTAAGCTTTTGGGTTGGATGGCAAGCGTCTGGCCCATTACAAGTAGTACCTGAGCACGCCTAGTCTTGATTTGGGTGTCACACCAAGCGCCCACTCGGGTGGTATCCGGGTCGTTACTGGATCCTCTCTCTGTTAGGGGGGACGAGTAGGCAGGGTGGTCCAACTGCAACGAGTGTGTTGCGAGTTCAGGTGGGGGAGAATGTTAGAGGTTCTTGTCACGCATCAGATTTGGATGGGAAGGGTCTTGGTCTTATAAGGGTGGTAGGCTGCTTCACCTAACAACTTAAGCTTTTGGATCGGATGGCAACGTCCGGCCTGCTACAACTACCCTTGTAAATTGGTATGTGTTCATTATTTGTAGCCATATGCTAATAAACCAATTCCTCATAATGTCTTGCAAACACAATAGATGGAGGAACCACAGGGCTCCCCATGCTGTGGCCTTGATTTCTGTTTACCATCTCTAACCTTTTGTGTTTGAATTTCCATGCTTTCAGTTTTCCCTAATTTATTGTTGCATTAGAAGATATGTAAATCCTTTCTATGTGAACGTTTATTGATGATCTTGACCAGCTTGATCATTACCCACTATATTTGGTAAAAATTGAGTTGCTCAAGACGTGGACTTAACTGTCACCAAGCATTTTATAGCTGGTAAATTTACCTAGTCAAGTAAAATTTTGAAGGCATAGTTTTTGGTTGAATTTGTAGTTGTAAACTTTGATTGTTTTTTAAACTGCTATATGACTTCAGATCCATGCTTTATCGAGCCTTCGCACATGTCATATCAGAGACTCCACCCGGTGCTATCTTGTGTGAAGCCAAGAAGGTTAGCATTGGATAATCTCGAAACTTTAATCAGATATTATGTATCATGATTTGGTAATTTGTAGTGAGTATTTTTTTTTAATGGAAATTAAGGAACCTTCAATTTGCAGCTTATCCCCATAATATTGGATGCCTTATCGATGTTGAGCGAGGATTTTATGAATAGAAGTATAATCTACAATGTCCTGCTAGTCTTATCTGGAATATTGATGGAAAAAAATGGTAAGTTTGTTACATTCATGTATGTTAGGTTTAATTTGTTTCTAAAAGTATATTGTGGTAATATATCTGCTGACTCTTTTTTTACATCTACATTTACTTTTGTCCTTGTAAGATTCAAATATTTATGAAGGGAAAATAAAGGGAGATATCGTGTTTGTACTATTTCTAATTTATCCCAAGATCCAAATTTTCAGACAATATATGGAGCATTTAGCAATTCTAAGATCAAGTTGTTGTATAACTCAACTGCAGTTGAAGCCTATGGGTATTAATTAAGAATGGGTTGGGGCTGGAAGTGGTTAAAGATGATATTTTGGTGGATGCAGATGTTTTGATTTGGACTTGCTCTGGTCTTTGCAGTTGAGTATGAAGTGGCTGCAAAATTTTGGCTATCTTGGCGATGAATGCTACATCAAATCATGAAGCAACCATTTTGAATGCTATCTCCAACTTTGCTAAAATTCAGAACTGATATAAGCTGTAACATAGATGTATATAGCAATTTAAGGATCAGCAAATTTGTTAATCTGAAGGTAGATAATCTTGAAATACAATATGTTGGAAACAAAGTGTAATTTGAACAGGATTACACCAAAAAAAGCTCTGTAACGGCGGTCAATTGGTAAAGGTAGGAATTATGAACCGCAAGGGATGTTGCCTTAGTGAAGATGTCATTGCCAATCGCAATATATATTGGATATACCCGCATTCTAGTGATGATATAGTTCCCAAGTTTGCAGCAAGTTGGGAGTATTGGATTTATAAAAAAGTTTTTAGGTCCATCAAAAGAATATGTTAAAGAGAAGAAAACGTGTTATTTCAACTATTAAATTTAAAAGGTGAGCTCCTGAAGTAAGGCGAATTGTAGAGCACGAATTGCACTGACCTTTTTCTAAAAGGGTAGGGCTGCAAAAAAATCGAGTTGAGCCAACAGCTTTTCGAGCTCGAGTTTGATTGTGGAGCTTGAGCTCAAGTCAAGTTCATACAAAAGAGCGTTCAAGCTCGGCTTGAACATTACTCGTCAAGCTCGAGCTCGGGTCGTTTAATCAGTTTTGATCCCAATCTCGAGTTTGAACTCAACCTCAAGCTTGAGATTAAGATTTTTAAGGAGCAAAAATAACCAAAAGTTCAAACAGACACTCATAAACTAGTCATGTTCATGAGCCTTTTATCGAACTTGTTCACAAATAGCTGCTCATGAACATGTTCACAAGCTTAATGAGCCGAGCCATGGATTGTTCGGGCTTGGCTCGTTTATCAAATGAACTCGAGCTGAGCTTTAATTGAGCCGAGTCCAATTAAGAAAAACCTCCTGGGGGAAATAGAAAAAACTTGTACAACAGAAGCAGAGGTTGCAAAATATAAATCTACATGAAAACTATAACGACGGACCAAGAATGAGGGGAAGAGAGGAGATGCATAATAAATTTCAAGATTTAGTGCTTCTTTTTTGAAAGGAAGTCCGCATAAGGAATTTGCATCTGGAAGTTCAGGAGGACGGACAGTTATAGGGGCCCATCCAAATAAAGATTCTGTTAGACCCTGAGGTGAGAGTATATCCAATAATCCTTACTACATCTTTTACTCAATTGATCACATTAGAACTGTGGCTTCTAGCATCTCTTCTCTCCATTTTTTTTTTTTTTTGTGGCCAATCTCCACCCTGAGAAGTTAGAGAAGGTGGCTACAATGATCCACTTTGATAATTAACTTTTGGTGGGGGATTTTCCTTAAATATTTCCGGCTACACCCTGAAACACCTGCTTATTCTTTTAGCAGGAGGGCTCTGTGACATGACTCCTATCTCATCCAGCCTCTGATAAAGCAACCATTAAGTTTAAGATAATGAAATCTGGTGGGGGATGCAACCCGATGCAATCATCATGGTGTGAACTTTCTTATAAAAGGCCTCTGCCTTCTACTCTATGAACTCTGAGGATAATGAAATGTCGGAGATCTTAATGGTTGTTGAGACCCCAATTGCAACAGCATTTGTGAATCTGCCTACATTTGCACTTGGTTTAGGAAAAGAATCTTGAAGATTCATACTCCCTTTGTCCCCAAACATTTTGAAAGGACATATGTTGCCATCACAGATATCTCAGTCACATTTTGAAAGGAAAAAGATCTAATATAATTTGCAAAGGTCATCAAATAGAACGGTCTTCCCCAAGCTGTAAAAATTGAAAATATTCTTATGCTCTTTTGGCTAGATGAACATTTTTAGATTGCAGCTATTCTTACAGTGAATGTTGACCCATGTTTTATGATAATTTTTTCTATATTTTAACTTATGCATGCAGGACAAGATGCTGTCATAGAGAATGTGCATAACATTATTCGTTGTCTCATTAGGCTTGTCTCCTACCCCCACATGATGGTATAAGATCTTTCCTCACGTACCAAGTAATTTTGCTGCTGGGATTCTGTTCGCCTGTTGCTAAGATATAAATTGATTTTCTGTTCTGGGAATTGAAGTCTTTATATTATCTAATTCTTCATCTTTTCTATGGGTTGTGCATCTCCTAACCTTTCAATTTGTTTTCTGTCTCATCTTTACACCGATACTGCCATGGGAAAGGCATTTATTGCCCTACTGGACTTAAGTTTAAAAAGTGGGTTCTAAACTTTGTATCCATGGAAACAATAAAGATTCCTATTAATATAGTGTGTAATGATTCGGGCATATTTTTCGCGGTTCCTTAGAAATTATGGATTGCAAGCGTATGTGAATGTGTTATAACTGCTGCATTAAATCACACATGATAACACAGAGTTGTCTTTTAATGAATATAATTTAGGCAGAATGAGTAGACTGGGGGATAAATGCTGGTATCAATGCTGCTGAACTTATATAGTGATACAGTATAAATTACATTGGTGATTAATAAATCTTCAGCTTTGCACTAAATTAAGTTTTGGTGGATTTTGTTTTTTCTAATACTGTAATCATGCCATTTTGTTATATGGGTGATCAATAAAAAAACAATAGATGATGCATGCATTTATTTATGTTTGCAGAACATCTTAAACCCTTTTTTTCTTTTGCAGCTTTGACTTTTCTTGATTAAAATACTTGAACATTACCAAAAAAAAAAAAAAAAAAAAAGTACCATGTAATTGTACTAAATTATTGAATGAAGTTAAATGCTCCAACACCAATATGTAGGTGAAATATTATCAGTTTTTAGGATATAATTTTTGGTCTAATAGTAAGCTTCTTAGTAATGGGGCACTTTTCTATCACCTTGTATAAAGAGATCTCTCAACTCATGTTTGAAGATGCAGTCTATCTCTCAAGCTAGATAGACAGGTCAAACAATCATGAAATCGAGCAATAGATTATTGGTTTGGCTCATTTAACCATCCATTTTCTTTGAAATACTTTGTGTCAAATGTTCTTAATTTTATTTTTCATCTGACCTTTCTCCAATCATATATTTTACAGTACCATACAATGTTATTGAAAAATCAGATTTTTTTTTTTTTACTATTTTTTCCCTTACTCTATTTGTTGACAAGACAAGTAGGTGAACCTAGATGCGATCCTTCCACATTTTGACTTCATTTTCCAGTATTAGTGCAATCTTAGATAACTCATGCAAAATCGCAGCTAGGAAGCCATGCAAAATTTAATTACGTTCTCGAGAAAGAATTATGGTAACTAATGAGAATTTGGGAGAACTAAGAAATGTACCTGCAAGGTTGGAGGTTGGGGAAGGAGAGCCGGGGGGGGGGGGGGGGGGGGGGGGGGGGGGTGGTTGGGGCGGGATTGGTATCATATGTTGTTGAATCTATGATTTCTAATTCCACATTGCTAACCCTGAAATATCTAGTCAAACAAAAGCTGTTTGGCCAAAAGGAACAGGCATTTCTTTCAAAAATTAAGTGAACCAAATAGACTATTTCTATTTCTAATTCTTATTTTTTATGTTTCATTTGTATTAGATGTAAACCATTATGTAGGTATCTTTGTAATGTTGCTTATTTTTGTAGAGAAATAAATTGTCTATGTCTATTACACATTTTTCTTTGAAACTGTGAGATAATCTTTCTAGTGATTATTCAGCTTGTTCGGGTAACTGCAATTCAGTGTCTTGTTGCCATGTCTGAGCTGCCCCATGCAAGAATATATCCCATGAGAACACAGGTTGGATTTTTCGTATGTGAATGTTTATCAAAACTTCAGTATTTCTATTTGCTTTCAGTTTCACCATGTGGTTAGTTCTGAAGCGTAATAGTATCTTACCTCCTAGAATTTCATGGCTCTAATTATACTAGTGAATATAAAAAAATATGACTCATGAAGTGCTTTTGGATAAATTACTAGGTTGTGTCTGGCTTCACAAGTTTTGGGTGTGCGCATGTTTATATGTGTTTGAAATATTGTATTTAATTTTCTAGGTAGTAAGAGCTTTACTAATGGCTCTTGATGATCCGAAGAGGGCTGTTCGTCAAGAAGCTGTCAGATGTCGACAAGCATGGTTAGAGCTTTTTTAGATCTATATTGCTGTTGCTCTAAATTATTTTAATTTTTTCCAGGTAAAATTTGTATTCATGTTTCATTGGTTTATGTTGCGCGTTAAATAGGGCATCAATTGCATCCAGAAGTCTTCATTTCTGAAAAGACAGAAGGGTTCTTCCAAGCGTGGCTAGGTACAGTGGATCTTATGCATTACATACATGTTTGACAATTGTCTCTATTGTGATTATTTGTTAATAACAGATATGTATGTGTTCTTGAGATATTTGAAGACATTATTGTTTGTGTATTATGAACTTGACAATGAAGATCTCATTATATTTACTTAGGAGGACAAATATAAATATATATAGAAGTGACTTTATGAAAAGGGAAGGCTTTCTAATTAAAAACAAACTCCACATCTAATGTGATATTTATCGGAATATTCCTGGAGAAAATTCTCATTATTATATTTTGTCTAAACCTTATGATGAACTAGCATAATTTTCTGTGTCTAGATTAATTGTCTTCATTGGATAGGAAGGTTTGATCATTTGTTTTTTCAGTGAAAAAGAATTTGAAAGATGTACTTAACACAAGGAGATATAAATGATGGAAATCTTCAAATGTGAGGATTTCTTGTTCGTAAAATTTAGACTCTGAACAAAGGGAATAATATACAACTGACAATAGCAGTAAAATAGAAAAGTGAAAGCAAATAAACAGAATGAAAAGCTCATTTTTTAAAATAAAGAGAATTTCAATTCTGCTAAAGAGTCTAGTTAAAATCCTTTGTTGAATTAGAACTCTTTGAAGGTTGGCAAGGCCGGCCAATTCTGTACATAAACGGTGAAACAGGAGTTTCTGTTAGAATTGGCCCCCGAACTGGGTTCTGTTAGAATTGGAAAGTAACCATCGATCAAACCACTTACGATTTCTTGTTAAGCTTACGGCACTAATTATATTTATACAAACTAAGAATTGAACCTAACTTTTGGACAAAACCATTTTTTCACATTGCACCTTTATTCTGTTTTTTATTTAATCTAAAATTCTCAATATTTTTAATTTGTTTTTAATACAACAAACATGGATTATTAATTATATTAACTAAATTATTTAGGAAAAAAATTAGATTAACTAAATAGTAATTATGCATATCCGCATTGTCACATTATATAATATATATGTTATGCTTCATAATTTTTTTTTTCCTAGTTTGTACCCCCCCCCCCCCCAGGAATTGTTTGCACCTAGCAGGACCAGCTTCATAATTTTTTGGGTAAACTACAATGACCTCCCCTGAGGTTTGGCCTAATTGCAAATAAACCCGAAGTTTGCATTTTGTTTGCAGGGTGTCCCCCCTAAAGTTTGCCCAATTTTGTAAAGACCTCCCCTCCGTACAAAAATCAGTATTTTTTGTCAGAAAATTGATTTGAAGTGACTAAAATGCCCATTGACTAAGTGAAAAAGACTCTAATATCCTTATAGTGTCTTTAAATTACAAAAAGAACTTTGTTTGAAAGGCCAAATAACCCTTCTAAAAGGCATTTTGGTGGTGCCCTTTTTTTTTTTTCTCTCTCTCTCTCTATTACATACTCATCCCCCTCCCACCATGGCCACCTCCCCCTCTCACCATGGCCACCGCCATAGCCAACTGCTAAAGAATGAAGAGATATAAAGAGAGAAATTTAACCCTACAATCAACCATGAACCAACTACGAGCCCATGAAGAACACAAACCATCGGGAGACGGATCCGCCATTATCAACGGCGACAATGAATGGTACAAGAACTTCATGAGATGATCCGCAAAGTTGTCGATAAGTGTGTTCTTTATCTCGGCATGGGACTGCTCTGTTGTCAATTTGTGGGTACCTATTTGTCGTGAAACAAGGGATTTTGATGAACTTGATGCTTGTGGGTATATATGCTTATGTGTGTGTGTATATATGTATTTATATATGATTTCCTACGGGGGTTTCCTTGGTTTTGTACTGTGTTTATAAATATATCATTTTTATTTATTTTTATTTTTATTTTTATTTTTGTGTGTGTGTGTACTGGTGTAAAAATGTATATATATATTATATATATATATCAATTTATTTGTTTCTTCCCATCCCCCCCCCCCCCCCCCCCCCCCCCCCCACATCCCTCTTCTTTGTGTGTATATATATAATTCTTATTCTTAATGGCATTCATCCAATATGCTAAGGAGACCAAGAATTGGCAATTGGTGGTGGGATTGGTTTGGGGGCTTTTCTTACACGTTAGGGCCTGACCTTCGAAATCCCCTATTATTCTCTTTGCATCTCTTTCTTTAATTTAAAGAATTTTTTTTTTTTTGTTGATAATTTATGTTCTAGTTCTGGTTGATGATGGTAGACTTGCTTATATATATGTATATATATATAGTGTACCAGTTGGGATAATCTCTCTAAATTCAAAGATTAAAATGGGCATATGATTGCCCATAAATTAGTACTCAATTTCTCATGTCCTCATTTTTTTTTTCTTGTCTTTTTGTCTTTGGTGGTGGTGGGCTTGGGTTTGGTTTTTTTTTTTTTTTTTTTTTTTTCTTCTTTTTCTTCATACACAAACTATCGTACAATAGTTTGATTTCTTCTGTGATTCTTTTACCTGATTGTCAAGGTTGTTTCTCTCTCTCTCTATATATATATATTTCTATAGCTGGAGGGTGGTGGCAGTGGTTGAAGGGTGGTGGCGGTGGTTGGTGGTAATAGGAGGTGGAGAGGAGAGAGAGAAAAGAAAAAAGATCGCACTCATGAAAGGTCACATCCCTGCGTACAAGTATCTTCTTTCCCAAAGCCTCTGGGCACCATAATTTGTATCCCTTGACCCTAGGTTGATAACCAAGAAATATGCATTTCTTAGCCCTCGGTTCAAGCTTTCCTTCATTCACATGAGCATACGTTGGACACCTAAATATTTTCAGATTACTGAAACTAGCAGGAGAATTAGACCATACCTCCTCTGAGTCTTACAGTCGATAGCAATTGATGGAGACCGGTTCACCAAGTAACTAGTTGTAGAAACAACTTCAGCCTAAAACACTTTGTCTAACCCTACATTAGACAACATACACCATGCCCTCTCCAATAGCATTTTGTTCATCCGTTCTGCAACTCCATTCTGCTGCGAAGTCTTCCTCACTGTGTGGTGTCTCATAATCTCGTGAGTTTTGCAAAACTCATTAAATTCTTCATCACAAAATTCCAAGCCATTGTCTGTCCTCAAGCGCTTAACATGTTTTCCAGTCTGCTTCTCAATTAAGGTTTTCCACTGCTTGAATGTAACAAAAGCCTCATTCTTGTGCTTCAGAATATAAATCCAAACTTTTCGAGAAAAGTCATCAATTAACATTATATATCTACCACCACCACCATGTGAAGTAACCTGAGAGGGACCCCAAAGATCAGAATGAATATAATCGACCGTACCCTTGGTCCTGTGAATTCCTGTACTGAACTTCACTCTGCATTGCTTTCCGAAGACACAATGCTCACAAAAATCCAACTTCCCTGTTTTCTAACCACCAAGTAAACTCTGCTTACTCAGAACATCCCTAGTAGTATCTGAATCTGGATCTGAGGACGATACATCAACTAAACCCGTGATTGTGCTACCCTGCAGAGCATAAAAACCATGCTTCTTCAATCCCTTCATCACCACAAGAGCACCCTTGGAAACCTGAATGACTCCACCTCATAGTTATTAAAGGCGCGCCTGGGCTCCAAAAGAGCCCCAGGCTCGTCAAGGCTCAGCTAGAGTGCCTCAACCTACTATGGACCAGGCCCCTTCAATCAGGCTTACATAAAGACCTCAGGCTCACACTTTTTAGTAGGCTCCAGGCTAAAAAAAAGGGCGCGCCTTGTATTTTTTAATCATTTATTCATATCATTTTCTTTTTTACTTGATGACTAGTAAATTAAAAGTTTCTATATCATATATCTTATTGTTTAACCTTCTGAAATATTTGACAAAGTTCATAAATTTATGGCTCACTACTTACATTAACTGCAATTATTGCTTAATTATGAATATATATAACAATATATGTTTAAATATGCATTATTATATACACGCGCCTTACTTCGATCAGGCTCACACCTTATACTGCGCCTTGCGCTTAGGCTCCAGAAGGCATTTGGCGCCTTAGTGCGCCTTGAGCCTTTAACAACTATGCTCCACCTATAGTCTTATAAGTGCACCCGATGGAATCTAGCGTACCAGGGAAATCAAATTCTTTTTTAGTTTTGGTACATGCCTGACATTAGTCAATGCCCTCACTATGTCGTCATACATTTTGATTCGAACTGTACCGAGACCTACAACCTTGCACGCCACATCATTCCCCATTAGAACTTCCTCTCCATCAATAGATTGATAAGAGGTAAACCACTCCCTGTTTGGACAAGCATGAAACGAGCAACCCGAATCAAGAATCCACTCATCGCAAGAGCTGCTGACTGAAATTGTGAGAATGTTACCGCCATCTGAATCATTACCTTATACAACTGCCACACTTTCAACTTCAGAGGATTTTTCCTTTCCCTTCTTACGCTCCACACAATCCTTTTTGAAGTGCCCTTCCTTGTGACAGATGTAGCATCTCAACACCTTTGTTTTGTTCTTAGACTTAGAATGACCTTTGCTGCCAGACCCTCCCTTCTGATTCGTTCTCCCTTTAACAAATAACCCCATTGCCAAACTTTTTGTATTGCCCCCAAATGCTATTTTCTGCAACTCCTTAAAAATTTAAGCTGCCTTCATGTTTTCCATGGACAAAGCAGTTTTGCCATACATCATTGTATCGACAAAGTTCTCATACGAGGGTGGTAGAGAACACAACAGAATAATAACCTGATCTTCATCCTCTATCTTTACTTTAATATCATTCAAGTCCATAATGATATTGTTTACCTCGTCAAGACGGTCTTTTAGAGACGAACCTTCGTGCATCTGAAGATTGAACAACCGCTTCTTTATATACAAGCGATTCGCAAGAGATTTCGTCATATACCGGGACTCCAACTTCTGCCACAGCCCATCCGCCGTAGTCTCTCCAGTAACTTCTCGCAGAACCTCGTTACTCAAGCACAACAAAATCGCATTGTGTGCTTTCTCCATAACCTCATCTTTGTCTTTAATCTTTTCTGGCAGTGCA